TTCCTGCTGCCTACCTCCTACCAGTTTTTACACAAATGTGCTATTTTATATTGTTATTGATAAGCAAATCCATTGGTTTACTTTGTTCTTTTAGGGGTTTGCACTATTGAATTTCGTAGTAAAATACTCGCCTGAAAGACAACGCTCTCTTCGCCCTCATCATGACGCTTCTACATTTACCATCAACATTGCACTCAATAATGTGGGAGAAGATTTTCAGGTAATTACGGCTTTTTTTTTTTTTTTTTACATTTTTCAAAAGAAATACGTCATTATGAAAGGGGTTTGCCTTATTTTTTTTTAGATTCTGCTTAGATATCATCATTTGAATTTTATCACTCATTAAGAAAGAAACAACAAGTTGATACATTTACTGGTCTGTCTTTTTTAGGGAGGTGGATGCAAATTTCTAAGGTACAATTGCTCTATTGAGTCACCAAGAAAAGGCTGGAGTTTCATGCATCCAGGGAGACTCACGCATTTGCATGAAGGACTTCCTGTTAAAAATGGAACGAGATACATCGCTGTGTCATTTATAGATCCCTAAATTATTTACTTTTCATTGAATTCAGTTTTCTTTTGGAATGGATGCCTGGCATGAACATGTCTTTGAAGTTGTGCTTGAGATGATGAGAAGAATATTTAAATAACTTCCACAGAACAACTTCACTTTGGGCCAAACGTTTGAAAAACTTTTTATAAAAAATTGATATTTCTTAATATCTGCTCTGAGCCTTAAAACACAGATTGAAGAAGAAGAAAAAGGAAAAAAAAATGTAAAAGCAAATATTTATTTCTATGCCTTATTGTCTCTGAGAATAATAACAATTTTCTGAATTTGTGTTTCAGTTGATAAAGTATTCAGGTACAGATGAACAAGTGACAAATGAGACTAATAATATTTTCTTATTAAAAGGCTGGGAAGAGTTTTATTTATCAACATGTAGACAAAATGGATAAAAATGAAAATTTCAAAAATTTTAATTTTTGAAGTGCTGAAGAACTGGAGTTCTAACTGAATTTGAATGCAACTAATTGTGTGAGTGCTTTTTTGACCTCCTATATAGGTACCTTTTACAGTAGTTACTGAAGGAATACAAAGAACAATATTACACAGTGTTTTTCCTCAAGAAACTTAGTACAAAGTATAACTGAGGTACATATCCAGTGGAAAACATTTCTGTTTAGATTGTTAGACAGATTGTTTTACATTTGCAGTAGAAATCAAGCCTTATGTTCCTTCAGATGAATTTTCCAAGGTAGATTATATTAAGTAGATGTTAGATTTAGAAAAGCTTTTGAGCCTTTCGATTTCTTAAAGTACATCAAGTATCAACTTAAGATCAGCAAGTGTCCTTAACTCAAAACAGGTTTTTTTTTTTAATTCTAGAAAATAATGAGGAAAAAGAAAATTTCATTGAGATTAGTAGTAACACTTTATGACTTTTTTAAAAAAACTCTTTTTACGTTTTTAAGTACTTGAATTTTATATCAGGAAGATAAAGTTGGTGAGCCTTTGTTCTTCCCTTTTGCCTTTTGTCTTCCTCCTAATTCTTTTCTTCAGGAGGGTGATTCACATTTTTGTCTTCCCAGCATAGTCTCCATTTTGTCATTCTTACTCTTTTTTTTTTTTTTTTTTTTTTTTTTTTTTTTTTTTT